GAGGAACTAAGCATTCCCACCTGGATATTATCTGGGGTTTGGGTCAGAACAAGCTGCCTTTACCCACTGGTTTCCAGAGGCCAAGACATACCAGATCTTTTCTATGGGATCACCACTTCAACAAGACCATTTCACCTGGACTGCTACCACCACCCTAACTACCAGGGTGTCAGGTTGCATTCTGACTCTGTCAGTGTTTTTTTCTTTCATGTTATTGTATGTATTTTAGGGGGGTTTTCCCCTTTTCTTAATAAATTGTATTTCTGACTTAGAGTCTTTCACTGGTTTTGCTTTCAAACTAGAACAGCAACATGAGGAGTTGTTGCCTCAGGTCATCAGGGTAGAAATGCCATCTCTAAGTGGGCATGAGACCAAGGAGTGGATCTAGCCATGGACAGTATTTCTCAGGTTATCCATGACTGTGAGATATGTGCTGCCATCAAACAGGCCAAGTGAGTGAAGCCCCTATTGGTATGGTGGGCAGTGGTCCAAGTATGGGAAGGCCTGGCAGATTGACTGCATCACACTGCCCCAGATGTGCCAAGGCAAGCGCTACATGCTCACAATGGCAGAAGCCACCATGGGATGGTTGGAAACCTACCCTGTGTCTCATGCTACTGCCTGTAACACCATCCTGGGCCTTGAAAAGCAGATCCTTTGGAGGCATGGTACCCCTGAGAGGATTGGGTCAGACAATGAGACTCATTTCAAGAACAGCCTTATCAACACATGGGCTAGGGAACATGGCATTGAATGGGTGTACCATATCCCCTACCATGCACCAGCTGCAGGCAAAGTGGAGAGGTACAATGGACTACTAAAAACCCAGCTGAAAGCCTTGGGTGGGGCATCTTTCAAAAATTGGGAGCAGCATTTAGCAAAGGCCACCTGGTTAACACCCGAGGTTCCACCAACCAAGCAGGCCCTGCCCAGTCTGAGTCCATGAATAGAACAGATGGAGATAAAGTCCCAGTGGTACATGTCAGCGGTTTGTTAGGGAAGACCGTGTGGATCAATTCTGCCTCGAGTACAGACAAACCCATTCGTGAGGTTGTCTTTGCTCAGGGACCAGGTTGCACATGGTGGGTAATGCAAAGAGATGGAACAACATGATGTGTACCTCAGGGAGATCTGATTGTGGGGTAAGAATGATATACAAATATCATTGTTGAATGTTATTGCCGTTGTCTGTACATTAAATCATACAGTCATGAGATAGACGAAAATGTGTAAGTGTGGAAGGTCTGAGCAAGTGAAAGATGGAGTTTTGAGTGAGTAAAATGAAAGTGGGGAATCCTGCAGCTCTGTGGTATCGGGCTGGGATTCAGTGGTCTGTTGCGGGGATGCAATGAGGGCATGATGAGTATAGCTTGTAATTTTTGGGGGGAACAGATGGAAGTTTTATGTTAATAAAACGCATGATGTGTGGTAGTATGTTGACGATATGGGGATAAGGGGTGAAATGTCCTAGGGTGAGGTTATGATTCTTGTATCCCCAATCGTGTGTTCTGTTAATACTGGATATTATGTTCTGTGCCTTCAAGACTGGCTCTGAAGAGCAAAGTTTGTTTTGGTTTGTTATCAGCCTGCTCCCCCACAGCTGGGGGGACAGAGAAATGGGGCAGTACATAGTGCGGCTTTTGCTTTTTGCTTTGCTTTTTGCTGCTTGCTTTGCTCTTGGGTCTTACTGTGCTCCTGCTTTGCTTTTGCTCTTGCTTTTTGCTTCTGCTTCTTAGTTAGTTCAGCTAAGCAGTGCAGATTTTTCCCTGGACTGTTTTCTTTCCCTTTTTGGAACCATTCAAACCTGCTCCGGACTAGGACCTGGGAAACACCAAGAGTTTGCATCTTGTGGCTGCAGCAGCCATCCCCAGCGCCAGAGGGACTGACAACAGAGTGACCACTCCCAGGAGAGACTTTCTGAATTTGTCATTATTTTCAGATTGGTGAAAGAGTGTTGTCATCTGGTATTGTTCATTTTGTGTGCTGGGGGTGTTTTGCCTGTTAAATAAACAGGTTCTTTCCACTTCTCTCCAGGGAATCCTTCTCGAACCGGTAGGTGGGAGGGGGCGGGTGGGTTTGCTTTCTTGGGGAGGCCCCCTTTGGAGGTTTTCTCCCAGATTTGCCCCAATCCAGGACAGAGGGGCATCAAGGAAGGCACCAGTGTGATGGAGACTGCAACAGGCAGAGAATTCAGTGGGGGAAATAAGGGAGCATCTGGGAAGTAAAAGGCAGGTGGGGGAGAGAACTGTTCAGAGAAGGGTTGAGCTACAGCTCAAGGAAGCTGAAAAATGTCATTCAGGTCATCCCAGATTGATTTGATTTCACAAGTTATTGAACAAGTTTAAATCTTCTGGAGTGTCATGTTTTCCCTTGGAGGTGTCCACTCTGCAAACTTGAGCTGTGTTGCCAAAATGCTCAAGCAAGTCTGTGCTGCAGGTGACACCATTTCTTCTTCGGCTGATTCCGGCCCAGTGCTGAGCTTCAGCAGAGCCCTGGCAGAGCCCAGAGCGGCCTCAGCACCCGCAGAGCCCAGCTGCAAGGAGAGAAACCAGAAACCGCCCGTCAGCTGATGGCTCCTGTCCCTTTGTCCCAGCTGCCCGCGGTGTCCAGGCTGTGCTGGCCGTGCTCAGATCAGTGCCCAGAGCTGCCCATCACTGCTGCTTCGGGGAGCAGAGCAGGAGGGCAGGACATGTGCCCAGCCTGCCGCCAGCCATGGCACATCCACCTGCTCAGCAGCTGCCCAGAGCAGGATGCTCCTGTGCTTGCTGCCATCTCCCAAAAGCTCTGATCCCACCCTGCCAAGCAGATGGGGACCCACCTCACACCATCCAGGGCTGGAAGAAAAGCTGGTCCCAAACGATGTCCTCAGCCTGCTCCAAGGGCACGGCCCATCCACGCCGCAGCTGCTCCCAAGCACTTCCTGATCCAGACTGGACCCCACCTACAACGCTTCCTCTAGAAAAATAAACAAAAAATTATTGAAAATAGATTACAGACAAAAAGGGGAAACAAGAAAAAAGGTAAAAAATCTTATGTCTGTCAGGGTCTTGAGGAAGGCCCAACCCCTGTGTGAGTGTCTGTCGAAACTTCCCTCATTTTTTGCCGCTCGATCGTCATGAAAGCCAAGACCACCGGGGAAAGGAAAAGATCCTGTTCTGAAAATCCAGGTCTGCCTGGTCCACCAAGCCAGATTATTGCCTATGGGTGTGTTTGTTCAACTCATGGAACACTGCACCCGAGAAGGGGCAGTGTGCTCTCCTTCGCCTGCATCACCTAGCAAAGCTAGTGCTGGAATTTCTCCACCCTTCTGACTTGGCTGGACTTTCTCTCTGGAAGGACCTTCTCGGTGGTCACCACTAAAAGACCCTCCATTCACCATACATCAACCACCGTTACAGATGGACTGAGATGGGAGAGGGCTCTCCCCTCAAGGACTGAGACATGCGACCCCTACACGGAAAAGCTCCCCTCTTCTTCCCAAAAGGACTAAGACTGAAATCCCCACCGTAGGGTGAGGGAAGGGCCGCCAGCCATGGCACATCCACCTGCTCAGCAGCTGCCCAGAGCAGGATGCTCCTGTGCTTGCTGCCATCTCCCAAAAGCTCTGATCCCACCCTGCCAAGCAGATGGGGACCCACCTCACACCATCCAGGGCTGGAAGAAAAGCTGGTCCCAAACGATGTCCTCAGCCTGCTCCAAGGGCACGGCCCATCCACGCCGCAGCTGCTCCCAAGCACTTCCTGATCCAGACTGGACCCCACCTACAACGCTTCCTCTAGAAAAATAAACAAAAAATTATTGAAAATAGATTACAGACAAAAAGGGGAAACAAGAAAAAAGGTAAAAAATCTTATGTCTGTCAGGGTCTTGAGGAAGGCCCAACCCCTGTGTGAGTGTCTGTCGAAACTTCCCTCATTTTTTGCCGCTCGATCGTCATGAAAGCCAAGACCACCGGGGAAAGGAAAAGATCCTGTTCTGAAAATCCAGGTCTGCCTGGTCCACCAAGCCAGATTATTGCCTATGGGTGTGTTTGTTCAACTCATGGAACACTGCACCCGAGAAGGGGCAGTGTGCTCTCCTTCGCCTGCATCACCTAGCAAAGCTAGTGCTGGAATTTCTCCACCCTTCTGACTTGGCTGGACTTTCTCTCTGGAAGGACCTTCTCGGTGGTCACCACTAAAAGACCCTCCATTCACCATACATCAACCACCGTTACAGATGGACTGAGATGGGAGAGGGCTCTCCCCTCAAGGACTGAGACATGCGACCCCTACACGGAAAAGCTCCCCTCTTCTTCCCAAAAGGACTAAGACTGAAATCCCCACCGTAGGGTGCGGGAAGGCGTCCGTGGGGACCAAACCAAGTTTTGCAAGCGACCACTGGACTGAGAAGACAATGGTTCTTGCCTACGACGTCTGCTGCTGACGATGCCTGCTGCTGATGGACTACTGATGGACTTTTTCTACCCTTTATCAATAGACTATTTTGAAATATGTCCCCTTCCTGCATTTCAAAGGACTATAAAAGAGGTTAGAGCTGACTGATGCCCTGGAGATCTCCCCTGACGTGAAGACGACAAGCCTCTTCGTCGACCGGACTTTGAGGGACTTTGTCATCCGCATGTCTGGTAGCTATATACCTCCTTGCCCTCCCTCTCTTCTTTTTCTTTTTCCTTATTCTTTTCCTTTTCTTCATTCCCCTTCTCTCTAACGCATCTTTGCTATGGCTATTCAATAAAAGTACATGTATTTTGATTTTACTGCAAATCCCCTTGTCGTGTCAGTTTTTGCACCCTGAGATCAGTGAAAAAGAACCTTCATGAATCTCGTCCTTAGGACGGATCGTGTCAGACCCCTGTGCCCACCCAGCCACTGCCCGTCCCTGGGACCTCCATTCCCCTGGAAATCACATCATGGGAACCCCATTCCTTATACCCCACCTTGCCTGGGACCCTCATCCCAGTACTGACATTCCCCAGGATCCCCATTTCTCCCAGATTTGCCCCAATCCAGGACAGAGGGGCATCAAGGAAGGCACCAGTGTGATGGAGACTGCAACAGGCAGAGAATTCAGTGGGGGAAATAAGGGAGCATCTGGGAAGTAAAAGGCAGGTGGGGGAGAGAACTGTTCAGAGAAGGGTTGAGCTACAGCTCAAGGAAGCTGAAAAATGTCATTCAGGTCATCCCAGATTGATTTGATTTCACAAGTTATTGAACAAGTTTAAATCTTCTGGAGTGTCATGTTTTCCCTTGGAGGTGTCCACTCTGCAAACTTGAGCTGTGTTGCCAAAATGCTCAAGCAAGTCTGTGCTGCAGGTGACACCATTTCTTCTTCGGCTGATTCCGGCCCAGTGCTGAGCTTCAGCAGAGCCCTGGCAGAGCCCAGAGCGGCCTCAGCACCCGCAGAGCCCAGCTGCAAGGAGAGAAACCAGAAACCGCCCGTCAGCTGATGGCTCCTGTCCCTTTGTCCCAGCTGCCCGCGGTGTCCAGGCTGTGCTGGCCGTGCTCAGATCAGTGCCCAGAGCTGCCCATCACTGCTGCTTCGGGGAGCAGAGCAGGAGGGCAGGACATGTGCCCAGCCTGCCGCCAGCCATGGCACATCCACCTGCTCAGCAGCTGCCCAGAGCAGGATGCTCCTGTGCTTGCTGCCATCTCCCAAAAGCTCTGATCCCACCCTGCCAAGCAGATGGGGACCCACCTCACACCATCCAGGGCTGGAAGAAAAGCTGGTCCCAAACGATGTCCTCAGCCTGCTCCAAGGGCACGGCCCATCCACGCCGCAGCTGCTCCCAAGCACTTCCTGATCCAGACTGGACCCCACCTACAACGCTTCCTCTAGAAAAATAAACAAAAAATTATTGAAAATAGATTACAGACAAAAAGGGGAAACAAGAAAAAAGGTAAAAAATCTTATGTCTGTCAGGGTCTTGAGGAAGGCCCAACCCCTGTGTGAGTGTCTGTCGAAACTTCCCTCATTTTTTGCCGCTCGATCGTCATGAAAGCCAAGACCACCGGGGAAAGGAAAAGATCCTGTTCTGAAAATCCAGGTCTGCCTGGTCCACCAAGCCAGATTATTGCCTATGGGTGTGTTTGTTCAACTCATGGAACACTGCACCCGAGAAGGGGCAGTGTGCTCTCCTTCGCCTGCATCACCTAGCAAAGCTAGTGCTGGAATTTCTCCACCCTTCTGACTTGGCTGGACTTTCTCTCTGGAAGGACCTTCTCGGTGGTCACCACTAAAAGACCCTCCATTCACCATACATCAACCACCGTTACAGATGGACTGAGATGGGAGAGGGCTCTCCCCTCAAGGACTGAGACATGCGACCCCTACACGGAAAAGCTCCCCTCTTCTTCCCAAAAGGACTAAGACTGAAATCCCCACCGTAGGGTGCGGGAAGGCGTCCGTGGGGACCAAACCAAGTTTTGCAAGCGACCACTGGACTGAGAAGACAATGGTTCTTGCCTACGACGTCTGCTGCTGACGATGCCTGCTGCTGATGGACTACTGATGGACTTTTTCTACCCTTTATCAATAGACTATTTTGAAATATGTCCCCTTCCTGCATTTCAAAGGACTATAAAAGAGGTTAGAGCTGACTGATGCCCTGGAGATCTCCCCTGACGTGAAGACGACAAGCCTCTTCGTCGACCGGACTTTGAGGGACTTTGTCATCCGCATGTCTGGTAGCTATATACCTCCTTGCCCTCCCTCTCTTCTTTTTCTTTTTCCTTATTCTTTTCCTTTTCTTCATTCCCCTTCTCTCTAACGCATCTTTGCTATGGCTATTCAATAAAAGTACATGTATTTTGATTTTACTGCAAATCCCCTTGTCGTATCAGTTTTTGCACCCTGAGATCAGTGAAAAAGAACCTTCAAGAATCACGTCCTTAGGATGGATCGTGTCACCCTGCATGCCAGGGAAAATTCTACCCACGGGTGAGGGAAGCCCAGGTTTTCTCCCTTCCCCCTGCACTGCCCCCCACAATAAGGGTGATCCCAAAGCAAACAAGGGCAGTGGAGCAGCCTAAGCCCTTCCTTGCCTGCACAGCAAAGCAGCCCCTGCACAGGTTCTGGAATCCCACCTCTGCTCCCACCATGGGGGTTTGTTTGTGTCAGGCTGGCTGCCCCAGACACAGTCCGGGGCACGGTGGGTGCTGGGGGCTGTTGGCAGGGCCAGGAGCCCACTCCCATTTTGTACCCACCCCAGCCCATGCCCCCAGCCCTGCCAAAAGCAGCTGGGCAGCCGACTGAAGGATCAGCTGCATCCACCCCAGCCAAGGGGGAACCTTTTGTTCCCGGCCAGGCTGGGCAATGCCCAAATCTGGGAGCATCCCCCTGCATGTGGATTCATCTGTAAATTTGCTGTGGAGCCTGGCTTTGAAGAAAGTGCCAGAATTGAAGTCCATCATCTTCAGCTTGCCAGTGGACAGGTCCAGGGAGAGGTTGCCATCCTTGATGTGGTCCTCGCTGTCTCCAGCAGCAGCAGCCCCACCTGGTACAGCTTCTCCATGGGCTCCTTCTCCTTCCCTGGGGTGAGACCAGGCTGTCAGGGTTCTGTCCAGGGCCCCAGCGTCAGCGAACCAGGATAAGCAAAGCCAGCTCAAAAGGTGGCCACCAGTACTGGGCAGAGCAGCTCAGCTCCAGCACAAGGGCTGTGTGCTCCCATCTGATGAGCCCTGGGCAGTGACACAGGCAGGACAAAAAAGTCTGGGTTCCTTTGCTTCTGATGGCCAAGGCATGTGTAATCCCCTTGTCGTATCAGTTTTTGCACCCTGAGATCAGTGAAAAAGAACCTTCAAGAATCACGTCCTTAGGATGGATCGTGTCACCCTGCATGCCAGGGAAAATTCTACCCACGGGTGAGGGAAGCCCAGGTTTTCTCCCTTCCCCCTGCACTGCCCCCCACAATAAGGGTGATCCCAAAGCAAACAAGGGCAGTGGAGCAGCCCAAGCCCTTCCTTGCCTGCACAGCAAAGCAGCCCCTGCACAGGTTCTGGAATCCCACCTCTGCTCCCACCATGGGGGTTTGTTTGTGTCAGGCTGGCTGCCCCAGACACAGTCCGGGGCACGGTGGGTGCTGGGGGCTGTTGGCAGGGCCAGGAGCCCACTCCCATTTTGTACCCACCCCAGCCCATGCCCCCAGCCCTGCCAAAAGCAGCTGGGCAGCCGACTGAAGGATCAGCTGCATCCACCCCAGCCAAGGGGGAACCTTTTGTTCCCGGCCAGGCTGGGCAATGCCCAAATCTGGGAGCATCCCCCTGCATGTGGATTCATCTGTAAATTTGCTGTGGAGCCTGGCTTTGAAGAAAGTGCCAGAATTGAAGTCCATCATCTTCAGCTTGCCAGTGGACAGGTCCAGGGAGAGGTTGCCATCCTTGATGTGGTCCTCGCTGTCTCCAGCAGCAGCAGCCCCACCTGGTACAGCTTCTCCATGGGCTCCTTCTCCTTCCCTGGGGTGAGACCAGGCTGTCAGGGTTCTGTCCAGGGCCCCAGCGTCAGCGAACCAGGATAAGCAAAGCCAGCTCAAAAGGTGGCCACCAGTACTGGGCAGAGCAGCTCAGCTCCAGCACAAGGGCTGTGTGCTCCCATCTGATGAGCCCTGGGCAGTGACACAGGCAGGACAAAAAAGTCTGGGTTCCTTTGCTTCTGATGGCCAAGGCATGTGTGGAGCTCTAACTTACCTGGGCCATGCATCAAAGTGTGCCTGTGGCTCTCTCCTTTCTTCTAGGGCAGATGAATATCCTGCATCCAAGGATGACAGAACACCTCTTCTAATGAGGGCCTTTCCAAGTCCAGCATGGATAAACTTGGCCTGATCTGATCTTGGCACTCTGGGCAGAGAAACCAGAAACTGCTGGACAGTTGGAGAAGGCTCCTGTTGGCTTTTCCCCACTATTCCCATGCCCAGGCCATGCTGGATGTGCTCCGAGCTGGGTCTCAACTTTCCCATCAATTCTCTGTTTTGGATGAGAGCAGGAGTGTAGGACATGTGCCACATCCTCAGCAGCTGCCAGAGCGGGATGCTCCCAAGCCCGCTGCTGTCTCCCAGCAGGCTGCCCCAGTGGCTCACAGGGTGACCTACTGCCCACTCCCCGAATTAGTTTCTGACGAGGACTGGCGGGGCCTCCTCCAAAGCTTTGGTGGCCCAATGTTTTTGAGCTGGGCTTTTTGTCTCGTCTCCCCTAGAAAATTGATTTAGCGCTAGCATTGCAGTGGCTAGCAAGCGGGTCTGGTCACCTGGGGGAATAGTGCCAGTGAAACCCTCTGCTTTGGCTAAAATTTCTAGCTTGCTTTTCAGTGTCTGATTCGCTTGCTCGACTATGGCTTGCCCTGTGCTATTGTATGGAATGCCATGTACCAAGGCGATATTCCACCTGGAGACAAATGCTTGAATGGGCTTGGAGACAAAATTGGAACCATTGTCTGTTTTGATTTGATTTGGAATGCCAAGCCATGCCATAGCCGTCAGCCAATGCTGAGTAGCCGCCTTGGAATTGGTTGTTGAGTGTTGGGTGGCTACAATCATTCCGCTATATGTGTCTACAGTCACCGCCAGCCAGGCTCAGGGCTTTAACAGTTGGCAAAGGATGAAATCCGTTTGCCACACTTCAGAGGCTTTAAGGCCCCTAGGGTTGATTCCGCTAGACCACAAGGGAGGTTTTTGACAATGCAGACATGTGGCTACAATGTGTCTGGCGTCGGTGATAGGAACTCCACATTTCTTTGCTAGCGCTTTGGCCCCAGTGTGAAGGGTTTCATGCAGCTGATGGGCGTCTCTGAGTGTCCATAGCCTTTGTGCAGTATCATCCACTTTACCATTGCTGAGTTGAAAGAACCCTTTGATTGGATCATGACTGTTGATATGAATGACCGATATGGTGCCCTCTCGAGAGTAGAGTGCCTCCTCAATTTTTGCCGCTGTAGCCAACGTCGACACACTGGGCCTGGACATGGCTAGGCTGAGCTTGGCAACAAACATTGAATCAGTCACCACGTTGAGGTGTTCTGCTGTGAACAGTCCGCATGCCAGTACCAGGGCTGCTGCTTCTAGCTGCTGGACTGAAAGCATGTGATCGGTCATTTTAACACAGTGCCATTGCTCCCCGGTTTGCCACACTGCTACTGCTGTTGAAGTTGTTGAGGATGCATCGGTGAAAGCCGTCGGTCCCAGCAGAGGTCGGTCCATCACTTTCTGTGGAAGATCAATGTCCACAGTCTTCAGCAACTTAATCCACAGAGGTTTTGTGGTGTACTGGAGGTCACTAGCGAACCCAAGGAGGGCTACGGTTAGGTGCTCCAACATTGTTGTTGATTGAGTAGAAAGTTGCTTGCGGAAAGGTAGATGTATCCTTGCAGGCTCAACACCCAAGTGGCTCAGGGCGAGTTTTCTGCCTTTCATAATGAGGTTGCCGAGGCATTCAACTCCTGGGGAGAAAGCACACAATGGCTTTCCCAAAACGACCCACAGTATGGGCTTGGCTTCATTGGATGGCCCTTGATCTAACGCTCCCACTCCCCCTCCTTCTGTGGAATGGACATATAGATCGAGTGATACGCCCAGGTTCCATCTCAAGAGCGAGCTCGAGGACATCTGACACTGGATGAAATCGAGTGAGCTTATTGCCTCTGGGGTTAAAGACTTTTTCTCCCATGGCTGTTTCCCTTGTAAGAGGAGATATAGCAGAGACATGATTTCAGGAGGAATCAGAACAATGTTACGAAGCCACTGTAAAGACCCTATCAGTTGTTGAGTGTCATGTAGTGTCCTAATGTTCCTACGAATTTTTATTTGAGCAGGGGTTACATAAGATCCTGTAATTTGTATCCCCAAAAAGGTCACACAGGGTCCCTTCTTTATTTGGGCATCCGTGATTTTGAACCCATTCATTTGTAAAGCTCGTGAAGCTGACTGTACTAATCGGTCCACCCAGCCTGGTGTTGGCGCAGCAATCAGGATGTCGTCCATGTATTGAATGATGGTAGCGGTGGGATCTCCATTCCGGACTGATACTAATGCTCTACCCACCGTAATCTGGCAAATAGTAGGGAAGTTAATCATGCCTTGGGGTAGCACTGTCCACTGGAAGCACAAGTTAGGGCACTGGCCATTTGGGAACACAACAGAGAAGGCAAACCGTTCCTTGTCCTCGCCGTGCAGTGGTATCAAGAAAAAACAGTCTTTCATATCAAGCACTGCACATGGCTGTCCCTTTGGTATCATGGAATTCGCAGGTAATAGCGTTTGGACAGAGCCCATTGGTTGAATTTTCTTGTTCACTTCACGCAAATCATGGAGGAATCGGTAGCCTTCGCCACTCCTTTTGGGGATCACAAAAACTGGGGTGTTCCAAGGACTGATGGAGGGTTCTATGTGGCCTTGTTGTAATTGGCATTCGAGAAGCTCAAGAAGGGAGGTCATTCGAGGCTCAGGCAAGGGCCACTGCTCAACCCACACTGGATTGTGGGACTTTCACGCCAACTTAATTGGGGAAGGCAAGTGTACAGCAGTGGCCCTCAGGCTAAATTTGTCACCCTAACCTTTATTTGAGCTAGGGCATCTCTGCTTAGCAAAGGCGGAACTCCCAACATAACATATGGGAAGAGAACAATGGTTTTCTTGGGTCCTTTCTCTGTATGGAGTGTTATGGCTATCAACTGGGTGCTCTTCCGAGCTTGGGATGATCCTCCAACCCCACCTACAGAAGGGGCTTCTTCTAATTTCCAGCGTGAAGGCCAGTTTGTTTCTGGAATAACCGTAACATCTGCTCTGGTGTCGATTATAAAGGGGATGTTGATGACGATGTTATCCAAAGGGGAATTCTGGGGAAACTTATGAAGGGAGGCACCATGAAGGCAGCAACTTCCCCACACTGTAGGAGTATTGTTGCATTCTATGGCCAAGGCCACCCAGGGGTCTCGTTCCCTGGGAGCGATGGTTGTTGACTGGGGGATGCCCCCACCCCCGAATTTAATGAGGCTGCTGGGTAGGTGATTGGAGCAGATGCCGTTTGAGGGGATGGTAGATTCGGCAATTCCCCGTTCCATCCAGGGTAGGCATGGCTGGGCCACCTCGCATCCCAAGTGGAAGGGGGCTGTACGCGGCCCACCTGCCCCCTCCCTCTCCTGTTTCCCTGCGCCTTAGACCTACCTTAGGCCTTTGCAAAGTGTCCCCTCTTCCCGCAGGCCCAACATGGTCCTCTTGGTCAATTTTGCTGCAGGGGCATTTGAGCGAGCCAGGAGTTGCAAATTGGCTATCAGGTACACACAGCCACCTGGATTGGGATTAGATATTCCTCTTTTGTGACATGTTTGATCATAGTTGCAAGGCTCGCTCTGGCTGGTAATGATCATAAAATTTCTTTGGTTGCTGAGTTGCATTGCTGGCGTAGGCATTCTAGCGCCACTGGGCCCTTCGCTTCTGCAGGCAAGGTAGAAGAGTCAATTGCCGCTTGGAGACGGTCTACAAAGTGGGTAAAGCTTTCACTTTTGACTTGTTTTATGATGGATCACGGCACTGGCTTGATGACTACCCTGCAAGCTATGCGGATGGCTTCTCTGGCCGTGGGGTTGTCACCATGATTTCAGGGGCCCATAACTGCTGGGCTTGCAATTGGGATGTAATCATTGTTGGGTTGGTGCCCAATAGTCATTGTATACTAGAACCATACAATGGGTGGTCTGCGCTGGCTACCTGGGCGAGTTGCTTTGTGCATTCATCTTCCCACTCTTGTTTAAAAACGATCATTCCCACCCCGTCAAAAATCATCCTACATGTTTGTTTTATATCAAATGAGAGCATATCATCGTTTCCAAAGACACTGTCAACAAGGATGGAGACCATAGCGGAGTTAATCCCTTTATCTGCGATTGCTTTAACAATCGTTTGTACGTCTTTGGGATTCACAGGAGTGTAGGCCCTTTGTTCCACGTCTGTAACACGGACTGGGAACACTAAAGTGGTAGGCTGGACCCAGTCGGCACAAACGATTTGTATTCTTTTCCAGTCTGTAAGTGGAGTACCCTTCGTCTGTTCCGTTTTTGTTGGTGCGAAAAAGCTATTGCTTCTAGTCTTATTTGTGTTAACTTCCTCATGTTCCGAGTCTGAGTCGGTGGCAGACCATCTGCCCAACCACCCATCCCAGCTAGTATCTGACTCAGAGGTGGAAGTCGACTGACTAGATAGTTCCGGGCTCCAGTGCCTTTTTGTGGAGCTCCTTCCCCGCTCTTTCTTGTGATGGGTGGGTTGATCCCTCCCCCTATGGTCACTCTGCCCCCTAAGTTCGGAGGGCCTAACTGTATAAAGGCATGTTTTGTGGCACGTGTCCTGATTGGGCTTATCGCCTTTATTCGCAGTCTCTACCCTTCCAAAACCACTTCCTTTAGCCCCCTCTTCTCGAGCTTCCTCTTTGTTCCACTCGCCCATGCTCACCACACTCAACGGTTCCCCTTTCAGCCTAGCCGCAGTGTCTGTGCCCCGCCCTTCAGCCCATTGCTCAGCCCCATTTTTAGGGGCGTACGGTAGGGGTCTTTCCCAGACTTATCCCAGTTCCAAGTCAACAGCAACATTTCTGACCTCATCAAGTAAACCATCCCACAAAGATTTTTGCTGTCCCGTCACAGGTGACTCGGGAGTAGGGCTGGACGGGCAAGGCAACAACAGGTGATCGTCTCGCTCTAGCGAGATGCTGGCCCCCGTCAGAAGATTGCCTTCTGAGGTCTGCGCTGTTGCGCCAACCCCGAGTTTAGGAATGGTAAGTAGGCAGTCTTGGGCAGCCTTCCAAGTTTCCTGCTCTTGTAGAGCAGTTTGCAGAGCCCACACAACTTTACCCCATGACTTGAGACATTTCCCACTACCAGAGGACATAGTGTCCTCTGCCAAAGCTTTAGTACACTTATCCCATGTGTCCAAGTGGAGTATGTCCACCGGACGGTCGATGACACCTATTTGCAAAAGTCTAGTAACAGCAGTAGTAAATTCCTTAGGCCTACAATCGATGCTCCATTGCTTATGCAATTGTAATACGACCTTTGCGAAGGCTTCCATTCTTCTCGCTGGTCCGGGAGTGTCCTCCCTGCCGGGCTGGTCCCGCTGCTCCAGCTGCCGTTCACCCGTCCAGGCGAAATCCCATCCCCCGTATTCCTGGGTTTCAGCACCACTTGTTGCCTCCACTGAGGCTGGGCAACCTGGTTCGGGAACGGCACGGCAGCCACCTCAGGCTGCTCGGGCCAGTCACTCACAGACACCAATTTGGTGGACGGTAAAATGGTGTTTATTTCCAGGTTTCACAGCCTTATATAACCTGGGGTTACATCACTTCCGTCTGCTTACGCAACAAACCAGGAGAGAGAGGAGGTCCTATCTTCCCGTACAGCACGTGGTCTTCCGATTGCCTGTCCCTGCCTTCCCACAGCCCCTCAACTTTGCCTACTCTTGTTGCTCTCTCAATGTTCTGCAGCTCTCTCTTGTCCCACCTTGTGTTCTGCCTCTAAATATTCCCAAGGAAGCACTGTGCCAAAGTGCCAAAGGGCTTTCCCCACCCAGCCCAGCATGGGTCCCAGCCCTCAACCCTGAGCTCCTGTAGAAAGATCATCAGGAAGCTAAAAGCTCCATTTAAATTTAATCTGGTGGCTAGTATGGACGATTATAGAAAATGTGTTTTTTTAGAAAATATTAATGACAAAGGAGGGCCAAGGAAAATCTCCATTCTTTGTTTCGTTGGGAGGGTGGAGGAGGGTGGAATTGTGCTCCAGAAGATGCCAGGGGCATCCTGGAATTCTGTGTCAGCAATAGTGTGGCCAGCAGGACCAAGGCTCTGATTGTCCCTCTGTGCTGGGCACTGGTGAGGTCACACCTCATATCCTGTGCCCAGCTTTGAGTCCCTTTACCCTGTGCCTACATTTAATAAACATTACCATCTCCTTGAATGGTAATACAGTTATCTCTTGTGTCTTTGTCATAAATATGTGGCATATTGCAGATTAGAGGTAAGGGTACAATTAATTAAGAGGTTTTCTGATTTATGGGTCAGAAATAGTGCAGTTGTATAACATTTCATGTACTGAGTTCATTGTAGGTGGTTTACATGTTGGATGGATATAATTTGGTTTATCTTCTGACAGGGTATACAGGATGATTATAAACAGTGAACACAATAAAGCCAATGCTAACAAAACTACAATTGGATGCAACATTAAATTCAAAATTCCAGTTGCTCTGTGTGGCCATCCAAAAATAGTTTCCCACCAGCAATGTTCTCTATCTTTCTTCCCTCTTTCCAGGACATGGAGTATCTTCTCTGCCTGACAATGGGTGGTAATGCGGGTTCTTTGTCTGTTGTGCTGTTGTCCATTTCAGCATGGACTCAGATCATCATATTGCAACAGTTTCTTGCCAGTGCCAGATTCACTCCAGCGTGACAGGCCATGAAACTTGACACAGTGTGCAGCTGGATTGTAGTAATTGGTGAGTTGTGAGGGAGCTGAATTGTTGAAGCTGCATCCCTTGATTTTGCTAAAACTACAGATATAGCTATTGGAGTGATCAGACGTCTCTCAGGTGGTGTTTTCTGTAAACAGAATCACACAGAGTTCTCATACAGATACATCAATTTCCAATATATGCAAGTACAGTCGCTGGGGTTTCAACACAATATTGACATTTTCTTAAATGTCAAGGCAAATGTCTTAGCTGTTAATAGTATTATTTTCAGAAATATAAATCCTTGCTGTTCCTGTCCAGTCAGGCATCAAATCTGCAGCTGGCCATTTGCTCCCATTTGGGGCTCACACTTGTATGTTCTAACAGATAGAGGACAGTTCCATTGGGATTTAATCAGCACAATAATTGGGTATAAGGCATAGAGTATTGTTAAAAGAAAAGCTGTGTCTTTACCCTCAGTGGGATAATAGGTGTCATTAACAAGATGTCACCAAGATTGGAAACCCTTTCAAAGAGAGTGTCATAATCCCAAATTACCTTTTATTTATCAGTGGTCAAAGCGCCCTCATTGCCTTCCCTATTTATTGCTATTACAGAAGATTGCAAGCACATCTGAGGAAGATGTGTGGTGCATGGTGTGGAATTTAACTAAAGTTATACTTATTATGATTTATGCTTATCAATTTGCATAAATAAAGAACTGAGGGTCTTCACCCTGTGGGTCAAGCTGTGTCTCTGTATTACGGGTTCTTTGTAGCTATGGTATTTTATGGAAAATCCTTTCCTAGGATTTTTCCCCTCCTGAGAGCTGAAGGCCTCAGGAAAGACATGTAAACAATAACTGTCTGCTGCTGTGGAATGCAACAGGTGCATCTTCCATTGGTCCATGTGGATTATTTTCAATTGATGACCAGTCACAGCCACCTGTGCCGAGGCTGTGAGCAGTCACAGGATTGTTATGCATTCTATTCTATTCTTGTTCTCTGTAACCTTCTGATCATTCTTCTCTCTCTGTTCTTTTAGTATAGTTTTAATGTAGTATTTTAGTATAATATATAACATAATAAATCACCCTTCTGAGAAAAATAGAGTCAAGCCTCGTGTCCCCACACTTGGAGCAGCCACCACAACAGTTCTTTGAGAACGATAAGCAATCCAAGCAATCATCCACAAAAGTCATTAACAGGGAATTTATTTAACAATAAATGTGCAGTAGACAGATAGAAAGTGACAGGAAACAGGAGAGCGAGAAGGAAAGAGGGAGAAGATGGAGGAGAGGGTGGGGAAGGAAAGGAGTGCACAGGTGTGGGGAAGATCAGGACTGGGGTGGGGAAGAGATCAAACACAGGACAGTACAAGACTCTTGGCTCCAGCAGCATCCCATCTGTCCTTGGTCACCCTGCACTTCTCTGCACTGGGGTCCTGGTGGTTCTTGTGGAGGTGGGGACACAAGACCATTCATCTGGGGTTAACGTCTTTCTGTGGTCCATGTTACGGGGATCCAGGGAACCATTTTTCTCTTTGCCATGTGAAGAGAGAATAGGTTTGCCTTCACTTACCTGGAATGCTGAGATCCAAGGAGCATTTCTAAGCTCCTAAACCTCCCTCCCTAGGGGCAGGATGGGGATGCACCCCCATAATATCGCTCAGCAGGTGGGTTGTGTTGTGCTCGTTAGTCCACGCAGGCACATGACATAGTTTCTCTCAGCTGCTGTGTGAGGCGGGGGCTTTAAAAGAGGCCTCTGGCAGAGCAGTGACCTGGAGTGAGAAAACAGGGGCGTGGCACAGCTTTGAGGGCGTGGTGCAGCAGTTTGTACAGCAGTTCACGCAGGCAGGGTTGCAGGTTTCCAAGTGTCCCCTGTTCGAAAGGTTTGCTTTATGTTGCTTTTGGTGTTTCTGTTGTTCGGTTTCAGGGTTTCTGTTAGTAATGGTCTTCACACAATCAAAAACCCCAGTTAGTGCAAATCTGTGTAACCACATGGAACCCTCCAAAAAGGACGTGTCTGTACAGACTCATTCTTGTGTGGAGTGTTTGAGCTTATCAGTGATTTCAGGGGGTGTTCCACAGGGAACTTGCCTGAGGTCTGAACAGCTGAAGGATCTCCTTTCACTGGTAGCTGAGCTTAGAGAGGAAGCTGAAACACTAGGGAGTATAATGGAAGGTGAAAGGGAAATAGACTGGTGGAGCTCAGCCCTTGCATCCTTAAGGGAGGCCCACCAAGGGTCAGAGGACTCCTCTGCCTCCCAAGTTCACATAATACAAGAATGCTTGGTAGATGAAGGGGAGTGGAAATGGGTTCCTGCTCGAGGAAGTATTAATAAAACTCCTCCTGACCCCCATCCCTTAGTCAAATGCCATCAAGAACAGGTATGAGCTCCTGGATCTAGAGAGTCAGGCCTCCCAGTTATGATTCATCTGCAAGACGGATCACCACTTCTAACATCAAAAAGAGAAGAAGAGTAGTCATAGTGGGTGACTCCCTCCTGATGGGAACACAGGCCCCATATGTCAACCAGACCCACCCCACACAGAGGTCTGTCTGCTGCCTCTCTGGGGCCCGGGTACAGGATATTACTGAGAGACTGCCTGGGCTGATTCAGCCCTCTGATTATTACCCACTGCTGATACCCCAGGCTGGCAGTGATGAGATTGAAAAGAGGAGTGTCAGGGCAATTAAAAGGGACTTTAGGACACTGGGACAAGTGGGTGATAGGACAGGGATACAGGTTGTCTTTTCCTCAGTCCCTTTGGTGGCTGAGAAAAATGGTGAAAGCAATAGGAGAGCTCACATTATCAATAAGTTGCTCAAGGGTTGGTGTCATTGGCAGAATTTTTGATTCTTTGATCACAGGGCAACTTTTACTGTACCTGGCCTGTTGGAACCAGATGGGCTTCATCTCTCTGTTAAGGGAAGAAGATTTTTAGCTTGTGAACTGGCAGAACTTGTTGAGAGGGCTTTAAACTAGGTCTGAAGGGGGAAGGGGATGCAGCTGGGCTGTCTGGAAGCAGGCCCAAGGGTGGTAAGCCTGAGTTAGGGGTGAAATCAGTAGGACACTGGGACAAGTGGGTGATAGGACAGGGATACAGGTTGTCTTTTCCTCAGTCCCTTTGGTGGCTGAGAAAAATGGTGAAAGCAATAGGAGAGCTCACATTATCAATAAGTTGCTCAAGGGTTGGTGTCATTGGCAGAATTTTTGATTCTTTGATCACAGGGCAACTTTTACTGCCTCTGGCCTGCTGGAACCAGATGGGCTTCATCTCTCTGTTAAGGGAAGAAGATTTTTAGCTTGTGAACTGGCAGAACTTGTTGAGAGGGCTTTAAACTAGGTCTGAAGGGGGAAGGGGATGCAGCTGGGCTGTCTGGAAGCAGGCCCAAGGGTGGTAAGCCTGAGTTAGGGGTGAAATCAGATGCAGCCCAGCTGAGGTGCATGCATACCAGTGCACGCAGCATGGGTAACAAACAGGAAGAGCTGGAGGCCATGGTCCAACAGCAGAGCTGTGATGTAATTGCCATCACAGAAATACGGTGGGATGACTCACATGGCTGGAATGCTGCACTGGATGGCTACAAGCTGGTCAGCAGAGAGAGGAAAGGGAGAAGAGGTGGAGGGGTGGCCCTTTATATTAGGGAGGCTTTGGACACCATAGGTATTGAAAGTAATGATGATGGAGTTGAATGCCTATGGGTGAGAATTAGGGGAAGGCCAACAAGGCTGACATCCTACTGGGTGTCTGTTATCATACACCTAACCAGGAAGATAAGGTGGACAACTCATTCTATAAGCAGCTAGATACTATTTCAGGATCACCAGCCCTTGTTCTTGTAGGTGACTTTAACCTACCAGACATTTGTTGGGAACTCAATACAGCTGAAAAAATGCAGTCCAGGAAATTTTTAGTGTGCGTAGAGGACAATTTTTGTTGCAGCTGGCGAGTGAGCCCACCAGGGGAGGTACTGTGTTAGATCTGTTGTGTGTAAATAGAGATGGGCTGGTGGGAGATCTGGTGGTTGGAGGCCACATGGGGCAGAGTGATTGTGAAATTATGGAAATCTCAATATTTGGTGAAATATAGGAGGAACATCAATAAGACTTTTATACTAGACTTTTGGAGGGCAGATTTTGGCCTATTTTCAGAGAGTTTATTGGGAAGCAGTCCTTAAAAACAAAGGAGTTCAGGAAAAGTGGATGTGCTTCAATAGAGAGATCTGGAGGGTACAGGAACAGACTGTCCCTGTGTGCTGAAAGATGAGTCAATGAGGTAAATGCCCATCCTGGATAGGCAAGGAGGTTTTGAAGGAACTTAAGAATAAAAGGAGGATGTATCATCCTTGGAAGGAGGGTCAGGTCTATCAGAAATTATTTATGGGGGCTATGAAAGCATGAAGGAAAATTAGGGAGGCCAAAGCTCAGTTTGAGCTTAGAATAGCGACTTCAGTAAAGGATAATAAAAAATGCTTTTACAAATATATTGATGATAAAAGGAAAGGTAAGATCAGTCTTTGTTCTTTATTAGATGCAGGAGGGAACTTGGTAATTGCAAATGAGAAGACAGAGGTGCTTAATGCCTTTTTTGCTCACTTTTTAGTGGGAAGATTACTTGCCTTCAGGAAAACTGCCCTCTTGGGTTGGTCAATGGTATCAGGGAACAGAATGGGCACCTGTTACCAAAGAGGAGGCAGTCAAAGAACTTCTGAGATGACTGGATATTCATAAATCCACAGGACCACATGGGATCCACCCCAGGGTGATGAGGGAGCTGGCAGATGAGCTTGCCAAGCCGCTCTCCATCATTTACCAGCAGTCCTGCCTCACTGGGGAGGTTCCAGATGACTGAAGGTGCCCAATGTAACACCCATTCTCATGGGGAAGAGAAGACTCAGAGGTGACCTTATCACTCTCTACAACTTCCTGAAAGGTGGTTGTAGTCAGGTGGGGTTGGTCTCTTTCTCCAGGCAACAACTGGCAGAACCAGAGCACACAGTCTTAAGCTGAACCAAGGGAAATATAGATTGGATGTTAGGAAAAAGTTTTATACCGAGAGTGTGGTAAGGAATTGGATTGGTTTGCCCTGGGAGGTGGTAGAGTCACCATTCCTGGATATGTTTAACAAAAAGACTGGATGTGGCACTTGGTGCCATGGTTTAGTTGAGGTGCTGTTAGAGCTGGGATGGATTTGATGATCTTGAAGATCTCTTGCAAACCAGTAATTCTGTGATTCTGTCATTCTGTGATTCTGTGACTCGATGATCCCAATGGGCCCCTGCCAGCTCAGCCCCTTCTGCAATTCTCACCCCTTTGACTCAGACTTTGTGTCCCCTTGAGGCACTGGCAGAGCTGTTGGGGACAGGGCAGGAGCAGGGCAGCCCCAGCATTCCCCTGTCTGTGACACCCCAGCAGTGACAGCCCCCAACAAATAACCAAACAAAACCATACCGAAACCAAAAAAAAAAAAAAACCTTACCACCACCCAAACAAAAAGAAAGCCAACCAACCACAAAAAAAAAATCAATAAAAACAAACAAAAAAACCAAAGCAGAACAAAAATACCCAAACCAAATTAAACAAAAGAAAAACCAAAACAAGAAAAGGAGAACACCCCCACACAAGAGCTGTTCCATCCTTCAGCTGTCACACCTGCACTCACACAAGACCTGGGCCTGCAAAAAATGAGGATTCATTGGACACATTTCCAGAAAAAGTGGGTTTAGGACAGGCTTTTAGCAGAACTGTTCTCAGCTCAGCCAAAAAGGCCCCTTTGGCAGCTGCAGGGCCATTGCAAATACAGAGCCTCAGCCCACAGGGCACAAAAGGGCTCTGAGTTCCCCTCCCCTGGCACTAAACCCTGTTGCCAGGCTGCTTCACACACAGGATTCTTCTGGAGTGCTGTGCAAATCTTAGAGTGGGCTCTGGCTTCTCCATGTTGTGTCTCCTAAAGCTGCCTGGGAGAAGAAATTTCGTGTCAGCTCGGCTGGCACAATCCCTCCTGGCACAGGCACAGCGCCAGGAAGGGCTTTGCTGCTGAGGCTTTGCTGCAGGTAAGGAAAGCTCCTGGCTCAGGGTCACCTTTGCTGCTCAGCCAGAGCCCCCAGTGCCCCAGCAGCAGCAGCTGCAGCAGAGAATGGCAGCATTGCCAAAGGCTGGCACACGAGGGGGAGATTTCCCCCTGGAGAGAGGCTCCTGTTGCTGTTTTTGCATTCAGGCAGCTGTATATTGTGAGATACCAAGCTGTGTTTTGTCTCAGGTACATACAGGCAAGGTGTGTATTTGTGATTGTGATATGTGCGGAAACTGACCATGGGACAGTTATAAAGATGAATTTTAATAAGTAACTGAGGGAGTAAAGCATGGAGGAAGGGCTTTGAACCCATCCTTTGTTTGCAATTAACCTTTATAAGTCTTCAGTGGATTTAGGAGCATTTGAATTAAAGCTTTAAGGATGTTGTTCTTTGACAGGAACTTTCTGCTTGTAGCCAAGCCTCAAAGAGTTTTGCAATAATAATCTTTTGAAGTATAATTTTAGAATATAGGAGCTCGAAGGACAGACAGTGGCAGAGAGCGGGAGGAAGAGAAAACAGCGGCTTTTATGTAAGAGAGAGTGGGAAATCAAGGGGGGGAGAAGGTCAGAAGTTAAGAAGGGAAAGGCATAAACCCATAGCAAAGAGAGAAACCCTGAACTGAGAGGGAACTTTCCAGGCTAGGGGCAAAAACCACTCCAACTGCCATGGCTAGACAGAAGGCAAACATAGACTAAACATCTTCAAATTGCTTTCCCAACCAGACAGGGTAAGACCAAACATACTCAAACCCACTGCAACAGGACACCAAACAACCTCAAAAAACCCCACAGCCACACGCAGAGCTCTTATAAATGAGAAGCTTGACAAAGCAAATATTCAGGTAGCAATCAATTTATTAATTAATATGGTAAAGTATGAACAATACAGTGCTGGGTACAGTGGGGGAAATTTTCCCTCCAACTGCACGACAATAGTTGGGGCTTACAAATATTTATAGGGGTACTCATAAGCTTTCTCAGCAATTTCTATTCACAATTTTTACTCATCAGCAATTTCTATCCCAAATTTTTACGTCACAATTCTACACACTATTGAGATTCAGTTTTTCTCAGGATGTATCCCAGAAAGGAGTATTCCCAAATGGTGGGGTCTAGCTTCCAAAAGAAGTCTCCCAGCTGGTGAGGTCCAGATTCCAGATGAGGGCTCAACTTTTAATTGCAAGGATTATAAATCTCATACCAGTGATGTCCAGCTTCCCTTGGTCGAAACTAGTAATCCTTGAGTTGATATTCATCTTCCTATCTCAAGCTGCTTTTCAATGTTTTGTTAAGGCGTTGAGATAAGCAGGTTTCCTTTTTATGTATTCTAAAGCTATAGTTTCAAAGATCCTTACTACAAGCAATATTCTAAAATTATACTTCAAAAGATTATTATTGCAAAACTCTTTGAGGCTTGGCTACAAGCAGAAAGTTCCTGTCAAAGAACAACATCCTTAAAGCTTTAATTCAAATGCTCCTAAATCCACTGAAGACTTATAAAGGTTAATTGCAAACAAAAGATGGGTTCAAAACCCTTCCTCCATGATTTACTCCCTCAGTTATTTATTAAAATTCATCTTTATAACTGTCCCATGGTCAGTTTCCGCACATATCACAATCACAAATACACACCTTGCCTGTATGTACCTGAGACAAAACATAGCTTGGTATTTCACAATACGCAGCTGCCTGAATGCAAAAACAGCAACAGGAGCCTCTCTGCCCAGGGGGAAATCTCCCCTCCTGTGCCAGCCCGTGGCAATGCTGCCATTTGCTGCTGCTGCTGCTGCTGTTGCTGCTGCTGGGGCACTGGGGGCTCTGGCTGAGCAGCAAAGGTGACCCTGAGCCAGGAGCTTTCCTTACCTGCAGCAAAGCCTCAGCAGCAAAGCCCTTCCTGGCGCTGTGCCTGTGCCAGGAGGGATTGTGCCAGCCGAGCTGACACGAAATTTCTTCTCCCAGGCAGCTTTA